TGCGCTGAACTGAGCCCACCCTTTAATCCTAAGGTTCATCTGCCGGGGCCAAGCGAGCTTGGACAATGGCAGTGAGGTCCTCAGGACGTAGGTTTGTTTAGAGTGACCTTCTCATAGATGGATGGCCTCACAGGGCTAACGGGCTCCATCTGCTCCATCTGACTGGGATTCGAACCTGGGTCGCAGCAGTGAGAGTCCTGCATGCTAACAACTAGGCCACCAGGGGTCCCTGGTACAAACTACCAAGCAGAAAGAGTGACAAGAGCACCCCTATGAAGACAGGCAGAACTCTACAGTCTTCTCTCCCTTTTTTACACATATACAGAAATCTCCTTAGAATCACAGAGTCATTTAGGCTGGAAAAGACCTTTAAGCTGATCAAGTCCAATCATTAACCCAGCACTGCCAAGCCCACCACTAAATCATATCCCTAAGGACCACATCTACATATCCTTTAAACACCTTCAGGGATGGTGACTCAATCATGTCCCTGGGCAGCCTGTTCCAATGCTTGAAAACCCTTTCAGTGAATACATTTTTCCTACTATCCAATCTAAACTTGCCCTGGCACAACTTGAGGTCATTTCCTCTTGTCTTGTCACTTGTCACTTGGGAGGAGAAACCAACCCAAACCTTGCCGCAACCTCCTTTTGGGTAGTTGCAGAGAGCAAAAAGGTCTCCCCTCAGCAACAAATCCTCCCAAACCTGCAACCTGCAAAACCTGAAGAGCAACTTATGCAAGACATGTTCCAGAAATTACAACCAGCATGGATACGTACCTATCTTGTTCTGTCTTTGACAAAACTGCTGAGTGACCTCACATTGTTGAAGTGTGGCAGCATATGGTCAACCCAGGGTCTTCACTTCCATCATTTATAACATAGAAAATCAACACCCTTAATGAAGACAAAATGTATCATGAAGAAAACTAATGTTTTCCAGGGGGCCTAAAAAATGCCTTGTCTTAAATGCTCTCAAATAAAAAATGGGACAAATGGAAATGGACTGTAAAGAGAGTATTGCAGCCTTCCCACTGTTGAAATAAGAGCAGAAAACTCTTACCTGCAAATAATACTCTCCTTCAACATGTAGCCCATCAAAGGCACCCAGAACATAAATATCATCTTGCTGCTTCTCTACCATCTTGTAACTCAGATAGCAACAGAGGCCCTGCTGACAAATGGCATGATTTCCTTCAGACTCAGTGAGTTTCATGAAGGAGATGAGATCATGGTAAATGACCCCACTGAAATAGTGTCTGTTTGATGGAAGTTGTTTGATCTTGCTGGTATACAATTTCCAGTTAACAGCACCAGCATAGTCAGGAGACAGACGTGGGCACAAAGTCAGTTTTGTCACCAAAAGGTGACCATTATCCATTACAGCATTGTAATAATATGCTTTTGGACTGTCTGGGGCATAAATACCACTCCCTGCAAACACATAACACCAGAAAGCTTCTAATCTGAAAGCAAATGTATGAGACAGGTAAGCAGTATTCACTAATTATATGTGTGCAAAATTTTATACTAATGTTTACCAGAATGTTTTGAAACTAAATTAAGCCTCCACAGACTACAATTGTAACCTAATGTTTTTTGCAATCAATGGAAAGTAGACCAACCTCTGATGTTTGAAGTATTGTAAGTGACAAAATTAGTGTGCTGATTATATATGATTTGAGTGGCTGAAGCTATACATTCTTCCTTGAGTTTAACTGCATTAGAAATCACTAATTCTGACTAAAATAAGTGGTAACACTGTGTAGTGGTTTGAAACAGGTTTTCCCCCTAGAGTTATGAAAGTGGTAACCCCCGAGGGGGTGGTGACCCTTGGGGTTTGACCCAATCAGCGCTCCTGCAAAATATAAACATATCCCTAGACTGGAAAAAAAGTAGTTGTAGTAGTTGAAGAAGAAGTGGCCATGTTGTAGAGCCACGAGGAGCCGGGGCAGGAGCCCCTGGGGGCTCTGCCCCCCCCAGCCCCTTGGCAGAGAGGCTGCAGGGACTTGGAACAGTGTTAAACTGGGCTAAGTACCTGTAGCTGGAAAGCTGAAGGAGTTTTCTCCACCGTGAATGGGCAGATGGAGAAGCGGCAGAGCAGCAGTGGACGGAGAAAAAGCGGCGGCACAGAGTCAAGAGATAAGAGAAGCACCAAAACAAACATGCAGCAAAGCAGACACAAAAAACTTCTGCGAGCCAAGAGAGAGAGAAAGAAAGCAGCAGAGAGAACTAAGTTTTACGGAGACATAGTTTGGGTAAGAACTGAAAACCAAAACTCCCCCAAACTTTCTTTGAGATCCCTCCAAAAGTGGAGGGGGTGGACTCCTATTAATTGGAAGTCCTAAATGCAGTGTCCTGAGAGCTCAGCCAGGACGAAATGTGTGAGAGAGGATCTTGGGCCCTCCCTTGCGGCAGCTTCAGAGAAGCTAGCAGCCATCTTGAGGTAGAGCACAGAAACTCTGCAAGGGGCTTGAATCCCCTGAAGATACCAGACCATCACGAAGGCTTCTGCACTTCATCGACATGGCCGTGGTAGAGCAACCTTTGTCTGGGGTAACGCAGCCCACGGAAAGACCCTTCGTTTGCGTCGGGGGGCCAAGAGAGGCTTGGAGGCCTCCCTCGTGTGTATTGGCAAAGATCCAACAACTGTTGCTTCATGAAAGACACAGAGAACCTGCTGCCCTAGTGGACTGCTGCTCAGAGACTGGAAGGGGTCTTTTTTCTTCTTCCCTCCTGGACTTTTATTTACAAGGGAGAAGAGATTTGATCCATTGTAAATATTGTATGTCATGGTAGAGATAGAGTTAAGATTGTATGTAATGTATTATACTATTTATTTTGTACAGTGTATTGTAATATATTCCCTTTCCCCCCAATTTGAGTCTTGTGTGGTGTCTGGAAACCCATCTCACGCTGAGTTGAGATGTGGGAGGGGGGTTAGAACAAGGGAGTTGGATTTTGGAGCTCTTCAAACCATGACACACTGCCAAATCAAAAAGTTCTCTATGTAAAAGATATTACCAAAATTCACATCCTTATTCAAGTGCTTTACATAAATACAGAAATCTTTAATGCCCAGAGGAAAACCTATCCATAAGGAATAAGAGTTGTGTGACATTGGGTTATCAACAACAGAACTAACTGAATGGCCCATATCTGCTTTTATTTGGACGGCAAAATTTAGAGCTACATTGTAGCAGGAAGTTTCTCTCAATTCTGCAAGCACATGCACACAAAATTTGTGCTTGACGTCTAGCATCTGTTTAGGAAAAATAATGAAAACAAAGCCTGCAAAGAAAATGTCTCCAGCTCAGAGGTACTATTTACAGGACTCAAAAGAACATTTCTCAGAGTTAGGTTTCCACCTAGTGGAGAAAACAAAGTTTAGGCTTTCACATGACCAAAACAATGAAAAACACCAGGATCAGAAGATGAAGAATAACACTCATAAACTCTCAGGACTCATTATTTAACAAATAACTAAAGGTGTTATAGTCAACTTAAGTATTTCTGAGTCCTGACATAGCACATTTTTAAATCCTTTATATCTTTACAAGTACTCTGCCCTAATCCTGTTGACATGTGTGTATGCATGCTGATAGGAATTTCTACTCAGGTCAACTGCAACACACAGATATAAATGTTGCCCATGTGAACACGACCAATTAGAGCAATATCACATTACCTATCATACCTAAAGTGGAGTTGTGCATATTCGCTGAAGAAAGTTGATGCCCATTCCCATGGCCCACGCTGAGTGAAACTGGACTGCTGACAACAGTGGAAGAGTGTTAATCCAAGCAGTTAGAAAGAGAATGGTGTCAACCTGAAATCTGCTTGCCAAGACCACAGCCGGGTCATGATAGAGTATGTCTGTGCAAGTGAAAATGCCAAAGTAGCCAAAGATGTATTGAAAGTCACAAATCCTGGATCCTTAGGGTAATTAAACTGTTTCTCTGTCATAAGAGGGTTGTAATAATGGCCAGTCTTCGTGAACGAAGATTTCGGGAAAGGTCTTTTACCTTTCCAGCCTGCCCAATGGATTTTTTAGGTGAGACACAGCATGCGCTGAACTGAGCCCACCCTTTAATCCTAAGGTTCATCTGCCGGGGCCAAGCGAGCTTGGACAATGGCAGTGAGGTCCTCAGGACGTAGGTTTGTTTAGAGTGACCTTCTCATAGATGGATGGCCTCACAGGGCTAACG